TTTTCCATGTTTATTAGCAATAGCACCTGTTCAGTGAATCAGAGCTCAGCTATTTACTGTTCTTTGAGGGAAGCATCATCTCTTCCAGATCTGACTCCGTGGCTCCCAGCATCTGTTCTTCCTGCAGCGTGAAGACACAGCCTCCCAACAGAAAAATACAAGTATCCCCAGATCCAGAAGGATTTTAGTGGCTGCCTCCCCTCAGGCTGCGCTTTGGTCAATGCTGTCTGCTTGGAGGACAGACGAACCACGTGGGTGTGCAGTGGGGACACCCTCACAGCACAACTAGCCCAGATCCAATCCCGGAAGCCACCCAATCAGGAAGACACAAGACATTAGAAAACCTATGTGTCCTCAAGGGAAAAACCAGGATAATGAAAATTCCAGATAGCTTATCATTTGAGAAAGAATTCCGGAAACTGGTCATGCTTAGCCTGGAGCAAAAAATTCGGAGGGGCCTGGGCCCTCAAATGCTTGAAGGGGGAACACAGAAGCCCAAACATGTCGCTAAAAGGCAGATGTGACTCATATAAATAAGAGGATGTTAAAAACGGAAGGAAATTTGTGGTTACTCAGTTCAAGTTTTTTATTTCTCAGGTAGAAAACCAAGGCCCAAAGAGATTGGTACACCCCCCTAGAATTGCATAATTAGCCAGTAGCAGAGTTGGAATTAGCTTTAGGTTATCTAAATCAGCCCCACCCCTCACACTGCACCAGAGAGGGAGAGTGGGCGGGGAAGGGTCCAGAGAGATGGTCTGAGGCACATTACGTGAAACCTTGTGGGCATCCAAATGTTCCTCGCACCAGGGAATAACTTTCTAACAAATGTAGAAATAGATTCAAATACATACCTATGAAGTGAATTGTTTCAATGGATGTGCTTAAGCAGAAACCATCTCAGAGCAACAGTAGAGACACAGAGGCTTTTCATAATCGGTAGGAAGTTGCATTAGGAATGACAAACATATCTTCCAGGACCATGTCGATGTGGCTAATTAATTATGACTCACTTTTCCCACTGAGTCAGGTTCAAGGTTCAGTTATCCCTACCAATCAACTGAAGGTGGGTGCCAAGATGAAACCAATTTGCCATTCCTACTCTAAATTCAAGAGATCCTTCCAACACTAAGAGTAAATCTCAAATTAAAAAAAAAAAAATGGCCAAGCAAGGTTGCATGCATCTGTAGTCCCAGCTACTTGAGAGGCTGAGGCAGAAGGCACACTTGAGCCCAGAAGCTGGAGACCAGCCTATGCAACATGGTGAGACTTTGTTGAAAGAAAGGAAGGGAGAAAGA